TTGTAGAGTACTTTATAACTTTTTCATTAAACTGATGTTGCATCTTAAGTTGTTTTATGTTTGTCTTTTTTTTTTTTTCAGTCCTTGTTTCTCTTTCTTTATGGTGAAATACACCATTACACGAAAAAAATAATCTGCAGTAATCAAACTTTAATTTCTCACCTGAGTAAGGGAATTGTCTGATCAAGAATAGTCATACTGAGTAGGATGTGTACTTGAATCTATGTCACCCTGTTGACAAAATTGGTATGATTGAAGAAATTAGGTATTCACTCAGATTTGTGAAGAATCATTGATCATATTGATATACATCCAGGAATGCTTTTGTTCTTGGTGGCATGGAGGTGTCTTCTGTGATACACATGTAGCATTAAAAATATATAAATGTGCTTTAGAAGAATGAGAAGCCTGGGCAAGAGGCCTGTGTCCTACAGTGGCGTATCCTGAGTGGTCTGTTTTGTGGTGCTGTCTTGATGTGGAACTAAGGGACATGGTTTAGTGGGGAAGTACTGGTGGGAGGTAGATGGTTGGGCTAGATGATCTTGGAGGTCTTTTCCAGTCTTTGTGATTTTATGATTGTATGATTCTGTGAATGAAGGAGCTTGGAGAAGCCCTTCGTCTTATTTCTTTAAGTCTGTTTATTAACACTGGTTGTTATTTTTAACACTGGTTGTTATATTTAAATAAATATATCCCCTGGAATAAATCCACCTTCGGATGCTACGGCCCTAAGGAGTGTTTATGCAAGATGTTAAAGCCTTTATTAAACATTTCATTAGATAGCTCTTGAAGAATGTGAATGTCAGCTTGAAATCTACCTCCCCTCTGCATGTTAAGATCGGAGAAATGGATGTTTTAAGTATGATTATGGAATTTTATAAACTTCTCAGCCTATTTGAGACTAGTGAGGCATCCTTAATTGCATGAACCAATTGGTTTTCATGTATGTTTTTTCAAATTGAGTCTTTTCTCGATAATGAAATTATTCTGCTTTTAGTTTTCCAGTCTAGGTTTGTCTTGGCGTTGCGTGAGAAACATACTCTACCCATTTAAAACCCTTTCATCTTCACAGTTTATGGATTCTTTTTATTTCTGATACTTCCATTAGTGTCAGTATGAAATGAGTCAAAGCTCAGTCTAATGAAGCATTCTTTCCTGTTCCTCAGCAATTTGTTACCTTGCAGATGTCTTGGAAGTACAATCTAAGATTGAATCCAAGACATTTATTAAAGCCCTTTGTGTGCGGTTCTCTGTCTGACCTAGTTAAGTACAATTGCCATCTAATTTGTTCACCATTCTTTAAAAAATACATATAATTCCAAGGCGGGTTCCAAGCCTCTTGGATGATTTCTTAGAGCCAACCAGACCAGTCTGGAGTCAGTTCACCACCAGAAGACAATTCTGGAGTCTTTTTGAAAATACTGCTGTGATCTTAGTGTTGGGTTTTGAAATGAGTTAGTATACTAAATTGAAGCTCTTGTATTAATAAAAGGAAGCAGAACAGAAGTGTTGAAAGCAACATCTATGGACGTCGTTGCATGCTTTATGGGAAAATTAATTGTTCATGTTGCCAATAAATACCTAGTGCTGCAGAGAACTTGTGTTTCAAAAGCATGGGTGCAACATATTTATTTATGAATTGGTATCATTATTTAGGTCTGGGAAGAGAGGGAACGACTTAAGTGCGCATGCGGGTCACTTTAGATAATGTTACTAAAATAGGAAAAACTGTTTAAAATTTGTAAAAAAGTTAATTTCTCTTCAGTAGTTCAGAGATAGTTTTCATAGAGTCTACTAAATTACAAATTTCTACACTATATAAACCTAGATGGCAAATGATGATCTTAGATAGGAGGTTTTAAAGATATCCTATTAAATGGACCATGAGAGCATTCAAACTTCATTGTACATCATGAGCAATTGATAACTTAATTACACGAATATGCACATTGTTAATGGAAATGGCAAAAGATTCTGAGCCCTTTCTTCTTTAGGTTCTTAAGTAACATAAGACCAAATGAATTCTATTTCTCAGGTATCACTGAGTTCTCACGCAAAATATTCAGTAACTTCTCCAAGGAGAGGTTCAAACCTTGCATGTTGTGCAGTGGACAAAGGAGTAACTGTGCAGAATATCTCTACAGTACTATAGCTAATAAATAAATAAAGAAATAAACAAACAAATAAGTAAATAAAGCAAAAAACAACAAAAAAACCCACTACAATTGTAAATATGTATTCCAATTTTGCAATGAACTTGCACCAGTCTGGAGTGTAATCACTGCTACAGTGAAGTTTGCTGCAAGGGGAATAAATGTGATGGCAAACAGGTAATTTTTTTTTCCACAATGACTCCACAGTTAAACTCATGTGAGGGAAATACTAAAAAATTGTTTAAAATTCATATGTGTTCTCAAGATGATTTGGGAAATGCTATTCATATTTGTGGTCTGAGATGATACGGAAGGGAGTTATAGATTCTCCTTGTGAAAGACCTGAGAGGTTCAGAACTGGTCTGCATATGTCTCCAGGTGATAGCAATTGCACCTCAAACTGAGACACCAAGAGTGTGATAATATCTCAACTAGATGAGATGACTCCTAATTTTTGTGCTTCATCTATGGCAGAGAAGCAAAATCTTGTACAGATTTGAATCTCTACTGAAGAATCTGGATTATCCCAGCTCACACTGGAAATGCTTTCTGCTGGCATACTTCATCATACGGCTTTATATAGCAATGTTTTTCTCTGAATTTCACAAAATCTGAGTCATAGGTATTGGGAGGGGCCTCTGGAGACCCACTCCAACCCCAACGGCCAATGCAGATTCCCTAGCATAGGTTTACACAGGGATCTGGTTCTTTCTCATTGGATTCAGTGGGATTTCATTTCAGCTGTGCATCTAATTGTGCCTTTTTGGGTAGCCTTGAGAAGACACATAAGTTTAATCTTGATTGTTCTTATGCATAGCTGGAGTCAGAGCTTCGTAAACATTAGTGCAGATCAGAATTTAAGGACTTGGACTCCTTTGTAATAAAAGAAAAAAAAAAATTGAATGATGTATTATGTATTTCCTACATTTTCCTTAATCTTCATCCTGATGACTGAGACATACACTGGAGGACAAACTCTGTTGTGATCGAATGCTGGCACTCCATAATAAATTTGGCCCATGACACTATAAGATGAGAGCAACTTGTAGGACAGAACATGCATTTCTGAAGATAAGGAAATGAAAACAGTAATAAACAGTCAGGAAAAGGCACTCATTCAGTTGGAAGCATTTTGCATTCAAGACATACTTGTTGGTAAATAATTTCATGCACAAAGGATGTCTGTAGTCCTCAGGCCATTCAAGGTGCAGTATAAAAGCTAGCTCAACTCATGGTCCCTCTTACCACTTCTCTTCCCTCTTTCTCTTTTGTGAACAAGGTTAGTTGAGAACTGCTTTTCTACTTGCTGAATTCTTGTCTTCCTAGAAATTTGATTACTATACTTTTTCCTCCATTTTCCTAATTGTTGGATTGAGGTGGGAGTGGGGGGACAATTGTTGGTGCTTTTTTTATGAAGTTCTTTTTCACTGTTTGAATTGCAGGGATTTCTGGAGATCTGGCCATATAGAACTTTGAAATGCTAATATCTATATATTTCTATATCTCTCTATATATTTATTCAAATGTGGGCTTTCAGGTATGCTAAGTGACTTGGAAGATCACAATATGACTTGAAAAATCACAATAATACTAATAATACTAGAGATTAATAAAATGAATAGGTAAAATGCATAAAGCTGTGTGTCTAGTTATCTTTCAAGGAGAAATGTGCATTTTCAATCTTCAAGAACACAATTCATCTCCTGTAATACTTCAACTAGATTGAAATGAAGAAAAAACAATGGTGTTTGTAAGGGATGTGAATATATGGGAAAAATAAGAGTTACATGTTGTTCATGCTGTGGGAGCCTTCTGCAGTGTTCCAGTTTTCATTATGATGAATCTACTGCTGTGTGCAGTGGGAAACAGGAGGGTAAAAGGAACCAGAAACTTGAAGAAATAATTGGAGAGAAAGGAAAATAGGAAGGTTTAAAGGAGAGTTTTGTGGATCTTAAGTTATGTTGAACCATAAGACTTAGATCTAAACACCACTTTTTAAATGCGGAAGGAAAGAAGCTGCATACTGAGATCAGAAGTAATCACAGTGTTCAATATGGATAGTGGTTCTAACCCCATGTCTTCAACCTTCTCCTGTTATAGTCACCATAGACTTCAACATGACAGATATCATAAAAATATTCTAGCTGCCTGGGTTTTGAAATTGTAGCATATGACATCTCCCTCAAGTTTAGGAAGATGGTTTCAAGGTCTGTGAGGAAACAGAACAACAAAAATAGAGAACTGAGCACCCAACAGAGATGGGCATAGGAGATGATAGTGAAATTTGTGTTTGTGGGAGTGCAGGAACCGGGCACAGATAATGCACAGGGAACTCCTGGATTTCTCATGGATGGCACATCTATGGACAAATCACCTGGAAGAGATTTCCAAACTTCTCAGCTTCAAGTATGCCAAACCATAATGAAATTTGAACCTCTTCTTAGATTAAGTCAGAACATGGAAATAATTCTTCATTTTCAAGCAGTCTAGTGAATTCTAACTGTAAGTGCATTTGTGGCTAGGAATTATTCACAATTACTACTTCTACAATGCCTTTAATACCTGAGGTATGTATTCCAGGCATACATCCAATATAAATACTAAAGTCATGGAAGAGGTACATATCATTTTGCTCTGCTGCCAGCTGTTCAACTGGATCACCAATGACTGAGAAAGCCTCCATCTTCTTGAAGTAAAGGAATTATTTTCCTTCCTCGCTTGGTTTTTGGAAAGTCACAAGGAAAACTCCTGTGGTCCTGGTACCTAAACGGAAACATAATTGCAATATGACTCCTATACTGCTTTCACTTCTGGTCCTGTATTTCAGGTCCAGCTCCATCCGTAGACATGTCATGCTATGGAAGATGCCCTTCCATGTCCTGCAGTCCGACTCCGCTGGCCAACAGCTGCAACGAGCCCTGTGTGCGCCAGTGCCAGGACTCCACAGTGGTCATCCAGCCCTCTCCCGTCGTGGTCACCCTGCCAGGACCCATCCTCAGCTCCTTCCCCCAGAACACCGCTGTGGGATCCTCAGCATCTGCTGCTGTTGGGAGTGCTCTCAGTGCTGAGGGAGTGCCCATCACCTCCGGCAGCTCCTTGGGATTTGGGAGCTTTGGTTATCCCAGTCTGGGCAGCGGGTACAGCCGGCCCAACCGCCGCTACAACACCTACCGCAGCGGTTCAATGGGCCGTGCTAGAGCACGAGGAGCAGGCAGGAAGAAGTGACCAGAAATGCTGAAGCATGACCCGATGTGGGAGAGAGCTCCTGGCCATGGTTCCGTGTTGTTGGACACCCACAATTCTGCCTGAAGTTAATGGAGCTGTGGGAGTTAATCATTTCCTACAGTGAGGCCTTGTTCTTGTTAGACTACTTTATATTTCTGATCAAGTATGTAGTTCTGCTATGCACCACTGTGTTTGATACTGCCTGGTGTTAAACATACTTCAAGCAGTAAATTGGACTATATTTTCAAAGTATCAACCTGCTCTGAAAAAAGAGCTCTGTGGAACACGTCACCAACAGATGTGCCTTTGTTTCCGTATCAAAACCTATTGCTTTGCAGCATTTTAATACACTCTTCAGTGTTATTAAAGCTATGGTTTTATCATATCCCAAGTCTTCTGTTATTTTTATTCCTCTTTCTACTTTTCATTGAAACATACATTATTACTGCTAGAAGTAAGTACCTGAGATCAAAACCAGATTTGTACAGCCAGTGAAGCTATTAAAGCAACAGCTTTTGGGGTAAAAAATTGAGTTGTCCTTATGTCAGGGAATGTTTGAGGCATTCAAATGAGTCCAGTTATCGCATAGATTCTGTTGCGGCAGGTTAAATTTTCCCCAGCAGTTAAATTGTTCCCAGCAGTTAAATTGCTTTGCTTATTGTTTATGTACCAGTCTCATCTCATCCTGGCATCAGATGGAAAGCCCTCCTCAAAGCTTCTTTCATCATTTAAATGCCTCATACTGTCACACTCAATGCCTCTGAAGTTAACACAACGATGATACAAATTTCAATTTGTGTAAGTAATTTGTCTGCTCTTTGGCAATTTGGTTGTTCTCCAGCCCCATGAGTGCACTCTGCCCTTCCTTACACAGAGGATTTTAATTGTGTGCATGGAATTTGAAACACCATCACCAACTCATCTGTCAGAGCAGTTAAGTCACGGTTCACCACCTTAACCAACCCATAAAGCAAGATCCGATGGCCTTCAACCTTCCACATGAGCTCTGGATGCCAGCTGAACTGCCAGAATATCAGTGAAAACATTCCCAGATGGTTAATGAGATTGAGATTGTTTCTGTGATCATAGAAACATATATTCTTAAAATCTGTAAAATAAATTCAAGTAGTATGTGACAGAGATTTTCTGGCAAGGGCAGGAAATTGTAAGGGTAGGGAAGGAGATTACCTTTTTTGGTAGAGACTTATTCAGCTGTAGGAATTTACAGATATTTTTAAAACAAAGATGACCATTTTTTAAATAGAGTAATAGCTTTCTGAAGGTATTTTGAGTTGGTTTGTGAAGTCCTTTCAGTGATCTTGATTCACACGCCTTGAGATCGGGTTCGTAGCCAGGTGGTGTGAGAGTTGAGATCCTGTTGTGTACCTTGTGATGTAAGCAGCACAAAACTTTGCATATTTGAGCCATTAGTGAAAAGCTGTTCTGAACTTTGAAGTCCTTTTTTCTTCTGAAGATTGAGACCAACCCATGTACAGTGAGACACCCTTCTTTCAGAATTAATTCACTTTTCTTGCTGGGGGACAGAGGTGCTAAGAGAGGAGAACTGGTCCTGCTCTTGGAATAATTTTTATGCTTGCAGGTCTTTCCTGCAGGACACTATTGACTGCAGAGGTGAAACAAATCGCATAATGATGAATAAAATAGAGAATTGAATTACTAGGTACAACTTCTACCAATGCTGTAGTTCTGCTGAGACAGAACATTGCGTGTAAGAACCGATAATACAGAGCAAGCTTATTAGCCACATTTGTATCTAACTTGATGTGAAGATTGCTGCACATCTCCTTGACTTAGTAGGGTTTCATGTAATAATGATGGTGATTCTTCAGATGAAACACTATGCAGATATCAGATTGAAAATTAGAGGCAGTTAATAAATGTCCCTAAATAATAAGGCCAAGTCACAGCATTTTTTCATTAGATTGTGGTTGCTAGAGTTTTGCATGGACAGAGAAGTCAAAAAATGCAGACCTGTGTCTACATCAGCTGTGCTCATACAAACTGGAAATAAAATCTGGGTCAGAAAGTGTTTTATTGTCTCTGGTCAGCAATTCTCACTGGTCTTAATTATCTTTACCTCTTGTAATACTTATGGAAATCTGGTGCTTCTCAACTGTATGCCTGTGTGGGATTGAAATAACGCAGAAATGCAAAATCTGGGAATATTTATGATGCATCTTGTTCTCTGGTCAGACTAAGCCCTTGACATGAAAATGCTCATGAACTGAACACAGACTCCCACCTCAGAGCTTAATGATTATTCACCTAAAGGAGTGAAGTCCTGAATAAGAACTATGCATCTCATACACTTCCCTTAAGCAGTGTTTTGATGACTAAAGTGAAACATGAAATGTACATTGGCCCTAGGAAACAATATAATTATTGCTGAAATTGAAATGAATCACCACAGTCTTCCAAGGATGGGTGCACATTGGTGAAGATGAAAGCTTTGTCTGTACTGGAATGAGCATAATAAGGGGAGGGGAAAAATAGAGAAATACCAGAAGACATTTTGGGGGGGAAAAAAAAAGAAAAAGAGTTAACTTATTTGGAGAATTTTGCATGCCAAAGTATGGATCATTAAATAATTTCATGCATAGCATATGTCCTAGGACTGCAGGCAATCTGAAATGCAGTATAAAAACCTATAGAACACAAGGCTCCTCCATCCACTTCTCTTGCCCTATTCGCCAGGTGAACAGGTAAGTCTGAATCCACCCAAAGTCTTTTTAAATGCTAAATGTTACTTTGATGACTGCTTTTTGTTGTTCTTAGTTCTTTATAAATATTGCTTGGTTCTTTTTTCTTTTTTTCCTTTTGGAGAGGAAAATTAGAAAGGTGTATTTCTGTCAAATAGAAAAGTTTTATTTGTGAAGCAGGGTGTAACAAGGCAAGACTTGGATACTGGCAATACCCTCAGAACATGCATCTCCATGCTTCATTTTAGAGTCTGGTATGAAAGGAATAGCACTAAAGTACTAGTACTGAAGGACCTGGCTGGGAATATGTAGTCTTGTCTTAGATACTGGAACTAGCCAACAGATAAATCTGGTCTGACTTCCAGAATATACCTGAAATCATCTTTTCCACAGGCAGGAGAGATGAGTTCTAGAAGCCTCACTGAAAATGAATTTTGGCAAAACTTGTTGAGAAAGCAATCCTTTTTTTCCTACTCTATGCTGGCCTGTTTTGCTCATTAAACTTTTGGGAGAAGAAGGTGGCAGGGGGGTTGGAGATTCATGATCTTTGAGGTCCCTTCCAACCCTGGCCATTCTGTGATTCTGTGAAGGTGCTTCTAAAACACTTTTCTACATTTTTGCAAATGCCTCTGGTTGGGCTGTTAGAGAATAAATCTGTGTACTAAGGCACTAAACCAAGATAAGTGTCATGATAAGGCTCAGCATTTCCAGCCCTGCCTGCAGCTCCAGCTGCTGTCCTCCATCTCCCATGATACCTGCAGTGATTCCATCTAGAGGGCTGGGGAAGGGGAAACCCCCAAGGGTTCACTGTGAGGGTGCAGGGGGGGTCTTATATGATCAGCAGCAGAGTTCAGAGGCCAACAGCTCTGGAAACTTGGAGAAGAATAAGGGAAGTCGCTATGTGATATTCAGACTGCGCACTGTGGGTTTTGATCTAAGAAATAATTACCCATTTAGCCACTTTGTCTCATTACTTCCATATCTGTTAACCCCATATCTGAGTTTTGTAAATTCAACAGAGTGCTTCTATTGCATGTGCTTTCCGGTCCTGTATTTCAGACGACTCTCCATCCTGCAGACATGTCCTCAAACAACCTGTGTGCACCCACCTCATGTGGCCCAACCCCATTGGCCAACAGCTGCAACGAGCCCTGTGCCCAGCAGTGCCAAGAGTCCACCTACATCATCCAACCACCTCCGGTGGTGGTGACCCTGCCAGGACCCATCCTCAGCTCCTTCCCCCAGAACACCGCTGTGGGATCCTCCACCTCTGCAGCTGTGGGCAGCACCCTCAGCTCCGAGGGAGTGCCCATCACCTCCGGCAGCTCCTTGGGATTTGGGAGCTTTGGTTATCCCAGTCTGGGCAGCGGGTACAGCCGGCCCAACCGCCGCTACAACACCTACCGCAGCGGCTTCAATGGGCCGTGCTAGAGCATGAGGAGCAGGCATGATGAGATGAGCAGAAATACTGAAGCATGACCCGATGTGGGAGAGAGCTCCTGGCCATGGTTACGTGGTGTTGAACACCCACAACTCCACCTCAAGTTAATAGAGCTGTGGGACCTTGGCATCCCCTAAAATCAGGCCTTTTTTTTTTTGTCTTATATTTTGGATTCTTCATATTTCTAATGAACTTTTTTCCTGTATCCGAGACTTTATTGTTTCAGTATATGGTAACACTAAAAAATGAAACCTAGGATGAAAAGATGCATCAGCTGTTGTCTTCCTGCATCCATGATGTGCTTATACTTTACTTTTTTTATCCCACTTCTTGCTTATTAAAGTTATGCTGCATCACACAAGTCTTCTGGTGCTTGTTGGTTGTCTTATGTCACTGGGCAGCCTGCTCTTGATAAAGTTTCTGACCATATATCTATTTACTTTCAGTAATTAAATGCTATGATTTCATATTGGGTTACTACTTCTATGCCAAGACAGCATTTCTACAACTTCTTCCTTATATATACGAGGAGAATACTCTGCAGTAGTATGTAGTAGTGTGTGCATGTGAATGTAGTGTGTGTAGTTGCCCAAAGCAGACGTGTAGAAGAGGTGTGTATACAGAATAGACTGGTGTGATAGACTTCCTAGATTTCCTTCCCCAAATCTGGCTTTCACCACAGAGATAAAGGCTTGCACATAAACTGCTTGTTATTGAATCTCTTTTGTACATAAGAAAGTCTCTCTGATGACTATGGTCTGAGAAACATTGTGCTCTTTGGGGAGAATTGTGCCTAAAAGGAAACGTATTCCCCCGGTATATCATATTGAGTACTATTTTGTAATCAATGCCACCTTATCCAAGGCTGCTTCAGTGAAGAAGTGGGATTCCTAGTGCAGACAGAGCTCCTAGTGCTTCTATGCAGATCTCCATGAGATTATGCTGAAAATGTTGGGTTTGGCAGAGGTATTTGCATACATTCATTGGCTGCAGGCAGCTCTGGAGATAAATGACAGGCTGAATGTTCACCCCATGGTGATGTCTGTAACTTCAGTTTATTTGCAGTATGGAAATTCACCTCTTCTTACTGAGATGGAAAAGATTTAAACGTTTGTGTTCCCCCTGCATCTCCAGCTCCAAGCATGTATGCCATCATCATTTCCTTCCTAAATGACTAATGAAAATAAACATAAAATCAGGGACCTGGTATATAATTGCAGTAAGGTCTCACGTAACCCCTGGCACACATAAATGCTGGATTGTGAAAGGGGTTTCTACCAGTGATGATAGCAACCCCCTTGCCCTGAGATTGCAGGTATGAGCTCATCAGTCCTGGTGGCTGCAAGGCAGATGGATCCAGCACAGGGCTATGGGTAGAGAAATGCTAATTACACTATTAGAATTTAAAATGTAATTAAACATCTACATTTGAAAAAAAATATTCAAACACCTGTTTGAAAACAACCAAAGCCCACCCAGTGTGGGTGTGGTACTCCTCAGAATCCCTGCTGAGTAAACAAGCTCTTCCCTATAGCATGAAATCATTTTTGATGCTGTTGTTTTCTACTGTTCACAATGAATCCTGGTACAACACCACCACCACAGGCCATCCCTTTGCAGAAAAACTCCATGGATATCTGTGCAGTCATTATTCGCAGTCATTTTTTTGGACAAAAAGAGAAACTATATCATCAATTGTTTAAGCTCATTAGACCACAGTACAATGCAAAACAAAACCTCAAACTTCTGTCATTTTAAAGTCCTTTATAGCAGTATTTGAATAGCATTAACAATGAAAACATCTGTGTATGAAATAGGTATGAACTCTGAGGACTGTATATATCTACTTATATCTGAATGCTTCTGCCTTCGGGGGCAGCACAAGTTGAAATGGTGAAGTTCACACTGGAGGCTCTGCCTATACCCAATGACACCCCAAATTAAACACACAGTGTGTATTATTCATCCACCTGCATCAAACAACACGTGGCCTCATTGGGATGCAATAGAAGCAGCAATACATTGCAGAGATACCCAGTCTGATAGAACAAATGGACCTTAACATACAAATACATCTCCTCTTGTAAGCACTAAGACAGCAATAGCTGGCACCATGAGGGTATTATCAGAATTCACTGCCAGTGGCCTGGAACCACGTCTCCTAATTTACTGGGTAAGCTTCAAACAGAGTTGCAGACTGTTGGTCAATAAACATTAGTATTAGCACAATTAACTAAGATTGGGGTCTGAAGTTAAAAAGAGAACAATCAAACCCATTGTGGACAGAGAGAGAAAGGGCTGCACAGGAGAGTTCTGTGCTGTAAAGGGCGTTGTAGATTTGTTCAGCTGCTCAGAGCCTCTTTCTTTTGAACAAGGTAATTAATTATAACTCAGATGTTATTGCATCTCTTTCCATCAGGGAAACTGCTCTGCTCGCCGTGTGTCTGTGTCTCCATGTGCAGATTTTGGGTCACTTGTGTGTCTGGAGCCATTCCACAGCGATTACTGTGAGTAAGATTGCAGTTCCCTTCTGATGAAGGGCTTCTCTTCAGCCATTTAGTTGCTCACAGGTGTCTCAGGAGGATGTTCTCACATTATGCAAAAACTTTTAATTATAATATGAATATACAGGCCTGTCCTTGATCATATAAAAACAGCTGTGAACTTCTGATTCACTCACTTTAATTCAGCCCAAAAATCAGGAGATGAAGACATTCAGACTGTGCGGTGAAGTGGTTGGTCTCAGAACATCAATTATTGCAATCTCTTTCAAGGGAGGTCACAGACATCTCTGAAAACATCTTTAGGTCCTTTTCTAAACTCTGAGTCTGATATTGAAAGAATTTTTTATTTCCAAGTAGAGGTTGGAAAAAAGAACAAAATAATTTCTGAAAATTATCTGAGGATAATGTTGCCATGCAAATTACTTCCCCAAATTAGTACTACATACCAGAGGAGATTCTCTTTGAAAAACCTTGCTATTCTCTTAGATTACAGAGAAGTTCTGAGGAGTGGCCGTGGTTGGCAAATCCAAAAAAGGTGAGAGTTATTTCTTTGAGATGGCTTGACACCAACCTTGAGCTGTTTTTAATTAAAAATGAAATAGCCATCAATCCTGCCACCCCGAACAGTGGCATAAATTTTAGAAGCCACTGACTGGTCTGTATTTCCAAATCTTGATAATAGATTATTATAAGAGAGAGATGAAAATTCAAACACGGGTCACATATCTTAAGCTTCACATAACATAATACTTTGCATGCCTGGAGTTTTAATAAAAGTTTCTGATAAACTTTGAAGTTCTGAGGAGCATCTGACCAAGCCAAACAAGTTTCTGTTCCCAGGGGATCTTCCAAAGACACTTATAATTTAGTGATGATTTACATGTCTCAGTAATTGAAGTGCTAGGAGAGCAAAGACCTGAGTGCTGATCTCTGTGCCAAGGATCATTTATGTATTTTACCCCTTTACTTTTTATCCTGCAAAATTTTCCTATAGAAGAAGTTAATTTCTTTTCAAAGTCCAGAAAAACTTACAAGTGAAGAAATTACTGAGGTTTCATATATTTCTGGCACTTCTCCAGTTGGCTGCCACTGGTCTAACACCATGCACCAGGCTCTGCAGGGGCAGCAGAAGTCAATGCAGTGTTATGGAAGAAAGAAATGCTGTGTGTGACTGTTTCCGCAGTCTGAGTTTTGCAAAGTCTTATCTTTTGCAAGACTCTTCCTTGAGAACAATTGGTAACATGTTCACCTATATGGAAGTTAATCTGAATGCAGCTGTGGATGTGATGAGGTCTGAGATAAGAATTGAGATGTATCTATGGACTCTCTGGATATAAAACTCCTAAGAGCCCATAACTGGAGAAAGACAAGCAAGATCCTCTATAAGATTTTCCTTCTGAGTCTTCCACAGAAATACAATAGCTCCATAATATCTCATTTGACAAGATTTTTTGTACTCTTCTTGTACTCTTCTTCTTCCATGTCAAAGAATCAGCAACTTAAAAGCTTTTCGGTCTATATGGCCTTTGCAGAAAGTTCTAACCCTTTTCAGTCCCTCTCAGCTCTCACTGTGTTTTTCACAGCCCTTCCCTTTGCACTTTTCATGGTTTCTTCTCTAATTTTTGGGCCTGAGTTGGGTGTGAATTGTGTGTGTGCCTTCCTTGCCACTTTCTGGAAAACTCTCCTTTTCTCCCTTAGAGCATCTGGAATCTCCCAACTACAGCTGCTCACGGACTGGCTTCCCACTCACAAAAGCTAAAATCCATCATGATTTGCAACAGCATTTACCTTGCAGAGGAGGGCTTGTCCACAGTGCTACGTTATGCAAATTCTGCTTAATCTACTATAATGACACCAGGCAGATCCCAAAGGGTTTTCAAGGCCGGATAAATTCTGAATTAATTATTCTAATGTTACCAGAAATTAACTTGGCACAGAATATTTTGAGATGAAAGAAACCTGTGGTCAGATATACATGCCACAAGATAAGGAAGTAAAGCAGTAATAAGCACAAATACTGAGGCAAAAAAACATATAATCAGTACCAGCTCATAAATAATTTCATGCACAAAGAACAGTCCAAGTTGTTGGGCAACTTGGGATGAAGTATAAAAACCTGAGCAACTCACACTCCTTCCATCCATTTCTCTTCCCTTCTTTGCCTTGGACAGTAGGGTAAGTCTGAACTCGTTCATTCTCTTTCTGTACATTGAACTCTTGCCTTGATGATGTTGTACTGCTGACATGCATTCGGCTTATTCTTTTCTCTGAGAGGAAGCTGAGAGGGGTTTTCATATGAAAGAGGCAGTTTTCTTTTGGTGGTCTGTTACAAAAATCATGGAATGGGGGAATCAGACCCAAATTAGTGGGAAATTTATCTATGGTCAGATGTTAAGAGCAACAAACAGGAATCCAATACTGCATTTTATCCTTCGCTGTCCTGGGTTGCCAGCTCTTCATGAAGAAATCCTCAGTCCATGTCTGTC